CGCACCGAGGAAGCAGGAGCACATGGAGCACATGGAGCAACACGAGGCCCTTCTGGGCTTTGTGCCCTCTGCTGCAGCTTCTCTGAGCGCATGTGGAAGTTTTAGCTGTTCTCAAGGCAGAAGGGGTTTTCTGAACTCATACCTTGAGGTTGCTCGGTTATTTGTTCCCTGGGCGGTCGTTCCCTGTGCTCTGTGGACTCTCAGTACCTCCTTGCAGCCTCCTTCATCGCACAAGTTAATTTTTGCTTTCCCTGGAGGCGCAGCCACAGCAATAGAGTCCAAAGGCCCTTTTTACAGTGCAGCCACAGCCCCGCCTGAGCTCAGCTGTACAGCAGATCTGTGGCAATCCCATTGGGGTGTGATGTTTTCAAAGCTGCTTCTAGGCAAGGAGAACTGAATGCATCCAAGCACTTCATCAAACGTTCCCCCCAATCTCCTTCACACCATTCAGACTGAAAACACAATCCAGAGGACAACTTAACCTCCATCTCACCCCAGAATGAACATTCTCTTTACTCTGTTTCCCCCCTCCTAAACCTTGCGAGAGAATCACAGCACGAAACGTCAGCCCTGGAGGGAGCGCTGCAGCGACGGGGACAGGACCCCGTTCGGTGATGCTGCAGGACGGTGTCCTCCCACCGTAAAAAAGGATTGCCACCGGGGAACGAGGGGCTGCTCGGCCACGCCGTGCACGGCAGTTCGCAGAGCTGGCTGCCCGAAGGGGCGCCGCGGCTCCGGCAGCTCTCGGGGCGTCGCTGCGGCGTGGAAATAAGAGCTAATTGGGTCGGCGCCACAGCCCCGAGAGAGGGAGGCCGCCCCACTCACCCTCTGCGGCAGATGACCTCCAGAGCCTCCAGGCGCCCGTGGTACGCGGCCAGCAGCGTGGGCGTCATCCCGTCCTCATCGGAAGCGTTGAGGTCTTTCCGAGTGGCTTCTTTCAGCAGCTCCAGGTTGCCGTCGGCCGCCGCGCGGTGATACCTGCTCGACATCTTCACCGCCAGCAGCCCGCCTGCAGGGCGGCCCGCCCACGGCCGGAGCTGCGGCATCGCCCCAGGCGCAGGGCGGCCGAGGGGAGCAAAGTCCTGCCTTGCGCACGGCGGGCGGCGTTCCGCTTCCCTTCCCGAGCAGCGGCCACACCGCCACAGCACTGCTTCCTTTCTTGCGTGGGGTGCTGCCGAAATGCAGGGGGGTCCTTCACCTTTCTGGTGTCTCTGCTGCTGTTGCTGGCAGCTACGTTTTCGAGTACAGATGGAGCAACGCGGCGGATTTCCTCCGGGCAGCACAGAAGCTCCAGCAGCAGTAGCCTGCTGCTCCTGAGCCCGTGGCTGCACACACTGCTGGTGCAGATGGGACGCTCCGCCCGGCCTCGTCCTCACAGGCACAGGTCTCAGTTATCACAGAATCACAGAATGGCCCGGGTTGGAAGGGACCTCAAGGATCACGAAGCTCCAACCCCCTGCTGCTGTGTGCAGGGCCACCAACCTCCTCATTTAATGCCAGCCCAAGCTGCCCAGGGCCCCATCCAGCCTGGCCCCCAACACCTCCACGGATGGATGGGGCATCACAGCCTCTCTGGGCAGCTGTTCCAGCCCCTCACCACTCTCACAGCACAGAACTTCCCCCTGACATCCAACCTCAGTCTCCCCTCCCTCAACTCCAAACCATTTCCCCTCGTCCTGCTGTCATCTGCCCTTTCCTAGAGCTGACTCCCCTCCTGTTTGTAGGCTGCCTTTCAGTCCTGAAGGCTGCAATGAGGTCATCCTGCAGCTTCTCTTCTCCAGGTGGAACGAGCTCAGCTCCCTCAGCCTGTCAAGTTTAGCCTGTCAGTTTAGACATTATTTCCATTGATGGCAGTGGAGCAATGGGTTACCCTGTGAGGGAAAGCCTGTGGAACTAGAGCACAGGGTTGGATGCTAGGAAAAACGTCTCCAAAAGAGCAGTGATGCATTGGAACAGGCAGCCTGGGGGGGAGGGAAGTCACCATCCCAGGAGGGACCCAAGATCCACAGAGATGATGTGGCACTGAGGGATGTGGGCAGTGGGAAACATTGATGGTGAGGGGACATTTGGACTGGATGATCTTGCAGGCCATGAAGATGATCAGAGGATGGAGCACCTCCACTACGAGGACAGGCTGAGAGCCGGGGCTGTGCAGCCTGGAAAAGAAAAGGTTCTGGGGAGACATTATAGCCCTTCCAGGACCTGAAGGGCCTACAGAGAGACTTTTTATAAGGGCGGGTAGGGACAGGACGAGGGGAAACGGCTTTAAACTGGAAGAGTAGATTTTGGCTAAACGTTAGGAAGACATTCTTTACTGTGAGGTGGAGACACTGGCACAGGCTGCCCGGTGAGGCTGTGGATGCCCCCTGCCTGGAAGCACTGCTGGGAGGCCAGGCTGGATGGGGCTGTGAGCAACCTGGGCTATGGGAGGTGTCCCTGCCTGCAGCAGGGGGTTGGGACGAGATGCTCTGAAAGGTCCCTTCCAACCCAAACTGCTCTGCGACTCTATGATTCTGTGATTCCCAATCCTGTTTTCTTATGTTCAAAAGGATTACTGAGGGAAACACACTCAGCAGGTCACAGCTGAGAAGAAATCTGAGAATACTGAGACAACATGAGCTCACTGAGCGCCACGGGCTCCCTGCTCTCCTGTCGCACTCACGGCGGCTGTCGGCTCGGTGTGACGCCCTGCCAGGCTGCATCCTCTGCTGCCTCTGCTGCCCCGGTCCCCTGGGGTCGCACCGACCCAGCAGGGATGCTGGGCTGCCTCCCCACACGTCCTGACCGCAGGCCATGGTGGGCACAACAGCCGCCTTTGGGGTTCCTTCTGGAAATGGTTCCTGCTGCAGAAGTACGCTCCTTCCCGCACCTTCGTGACCACTCTGGTATTTAGTCCAGCATGCAAAATGTTGATCTCAGTGATGGTTATTCACTAACATCTCAAAAGGTTTCTTTCAGAGGGAAGTTTTCAACTGATGCCATTGTTCCAAGTTTTAATTGGGGGCAAAGCAAAACCCCCTTCAGATGCAGAGAAGCTCTGGGACCTCACAAGCTTTCATCCTTTATGTTGCCAAAGTGGGCACCACAAAAACGAGGAATAAAGGAGGAAAGACTGAACAAAATCTCCATCTATTCCCAAACTCCTATTTGCTAATTTATGTCCCATCTGAAAAGCTCAACTTAAAATGTGTTACATGATTCAGCAGCAGGTGAAGTTTCCCAGCCAGAATGCAGACATTTCTTTTGAGAGCAATGCTCGAAGCACAGCTTTTCCAAGTCCTGGGCAGTTCGAATGAAGCTTTTCTATCGGGGTTTGAAAAGAACTTTGAACTGTTCCTCTTGCAATGGAAATGTGCTACGAGGTTGAGGAGAAGCACCGCGCTAATGGTGCTGCTGTGAGCTAGGCGTTACCGAGCCAGCAGCTCCCGTTTTGTCTTCGGATTTTGCGGTGTCTTTGGCGATCACTGTTTCCTCCCAGGACAATCCCAAGAGCAGCACCACCGGCCGCACCCGTCAGCCTCAGCACAGCACGTTGGCTGCTCAGGCAGCTCAGAGCCCCGTCTGCCTCCTCAGCTGGGAGAAAAGCAGCGCTGCTGCCGCGCTTGCTCTGCACGATGCGTGCTCCGGGCCAACGTTTGCTCACCGCAAACCGGAGAGCAACAAACGCGGCGCGGCGAGGGCTGAGGGCAGCAAAGGCACCCCTGCAACAGGGGGGGCCGGAACCATCGGGCTCAGAGAGGGCGGAGATCGGGCACGCGGGGCGATGGACGCCGCGCAGGGAGGATGGCAGCGTATTGGAACAACCGCAGAGACTTCACTCCTTCCCTCCTCGCAGCCGTCCGGGCTCCCGCGGGGAGGAAATGCCGCGGGCGTCCGACCCGCTGCGGGGCCGCGCTCGGATGCGTGCGCTCTGCGGAGCCGCGCGCTGCGCCCGCTGTGCTGGGCTGGTCGGCACCGCGCGATGCCTTTTGTTTTCCTGAAGTCCGAAAATCAAAGAAACAAAAGAAAAAACACAGAGAAACCAAAGAGCGGAGCTTGCAGGGCTTTGGAGCGGGAAAACGAAAGAGAGCCGAGGAGCCGCTTTTATGTTCCAGGACGCGAAGCGGCCGTTCAGCATCGCTCCGGGCACCAGCGGGCGGCTGGAGCAGAGCTGCTCGTCAGGCAGCGGCCACGCAGGAATCCGCGCTCAGAAGGGAAGCGGCGGGTGGTGCCCGGCAGCCCGGGAAGGTGCCCGGCGTCCGGCTGTGCGCAGGTCCGTGCCGCTGCTGCGACGCCGCCCTCAGCCCGCAGCAAGCAGAGCGGGGCAGCAAAACCGGAGACATGAGCCAACGTCTGGCGCTCACACGCAATAACTGACACAACACCCGTTATTCCCTGCACAAATCCTTCACGGCCACCATAACACTCCTTTCCAATCCTACGACCCGTTTCCTTGCTCTCTCACATCTCCAGAATTCAGAAGCTTTCAATAATATGAGTCTCTTGTTTCTTTCTTCAAGCCTGTCTGACTTGCAGACAACTGAAGCAGCTGGGACAAAACACAGAACCTCCTCCCTGGGCCTCACAGCTCTGAAGAGCAGAGCGGGGCAGAGCCCCCGAGCTCTTTTGGTCCCAAATTCTGACAGGGACATTCTCTTCTACCTTGACTACCCCAAGGGTTCTCTGCTAAGCACGAGATCTGCCCTCAGCATTGCAGGTTTGCCCAGAAAGAGAACCAGACACCCTCAGGTGCATCCAGATCCCCCAGTACATTTGTTTTAAATCACCAGGAAATCAAAGCAGCACAGAAGTCTCATTTTTAAAAGCAGCTCCCAAAAAGTCTGCACCATCCGGCAAAGAAAGAAAGGGAATAAACTCAGAGCAAGAAAAAGTGCCTTAAAATCAAATCTAACAACATCATGGCAAAGACTTTGCACCACCCAGCCATCCCTCAGAAGCCCTCCTCCTTCCCAGGGCAGCCCAGAAACGAGAGACAGGTGAGGTGGCACCCAACAGAAAGGCTGCACCTGTGTGTGCCCCATATAAACCCACCTGGGCAGCACCCAGGAGGCTTTTGGTGGATGGGAGGGATGGGGCTGCTTGTGGGGCAGCAGTGCTCTGGCACTTTGAGAATGAGGTGAGGTTGGGGCCAGGAGGAGCTGGGCCATTTCCTTGCTGCTCTTTAACGAGGCTCTGCTTTGCTTGCAGGCTGCTGCTGCTCCTTTTGTTTGGATTTTTGCTGTTCTTGGCCCCTAGGGTCTTAGGGGAATTGGACCTCTCAGGTAAGAATGAATGAATTACTGTGATCTCCCTGTGCTACTGCTGGTTTGAGGGGCTCTGTGTTTGCTTCGAGCCCCCTCCTCTGCTGCTGGTGTGAAAGGGGCTCTTGGATTGGGGCTGAGCTGGCTGATCTTCCCTCTGCAGAGAGCGTGACCTGCCTGCAGGACAGGCTGGAGCTGGAGCTTCCCGGGGAGCTCGGCAATCACTCGTGGCGTGTGCGCGCCGTGGGTAGGTGTTGCTGCTGCCCTGGCTCAGCTGTTCCCTCCAAGGCTTGAAGTCAGCTGCTGCCTGCAGGGCTGGCTGTTCCCTTCTCCATAGATGCGAGCGGGGAGGAGATGATGTCCTGTGAGCACACTGTGGATTATGAGAAGCTGCTGCTCAGAGCCCTGCTGGTGAACTGCACTAGCCTGGAGGTAAAGCGCGCTTCTGATCTGGGAGCATGATGTCATGGAGTGTTTGGGGTTTTTCTGCTGCTTGAGGTTGGGCTTAGTAGGGTTTCTACCTCTAATTTCTACTGACTTCTCTACTCTGAAGGGCCCCTTCTGCTGGGTTACTGTTCCCTGAGCACTTCCTCTTCCAGCTGTGCGTTAAACACCTTCAGATGCTGCTAGGAATGCTGTACTCTCCTGTGATGGAGTGGAGAGCTACTTTAAATGATGCCTGTAGGAGCTGGAAGGGGCCCGAGGGTGTCAGCACCTGGCAGATACATGTATGCATGAACACATAATCTGAGTTATGCAGAGCTGTTAAAGCAGAGTGGGGAGAGGCCCAGAGGCCTTCCTGGTACCAGCTGCTCTCAGGCACTGGAAGTACCCCTGGTACTTGCTCTAGGAGTGCTGGCACCGCTGCCAGGTGCTCTCTGAGGCTCTGCTCCTGACTCCCTCAGTGCTTCGTGTCCCTCTGCCTGACCTGCTGACCCAGAGAGCCCATCTCTACCCCAGAGCTCCTGAAATACCTGCTGATGTTGTACCAGCTCAGCTGCTTATCCTAATGATGAAGGAGCAAATGGTGAAGGGCTTCTGTGCTGCACTGCTGTTCTTTCCTGAGTTGACGTCCCTCCTGATTGAAGCCTGTCTCCCTGCAGCACGGCCAGCACCAGCTGAGGCTGCTCCTGCTGCTGAACGGCACCGTGGGAGAGGAGAGGAACGTCACCTACAGCGCTCAGTGCAGCGCTGCCCGCAGGGATGAAATCATCGCTCCTCTCTTTGTTGGTGTGACCGAGTGCACAAAGGATTCCATGGCGGTGGGTGAGGGCTGTGCTGGGGGTCCTGCTGGGGGCCTTGGGGCAGGCTGGGGTCCCACGGAGCGGTGGCTCTGGGGAGGTCTGTTGGCTGCAGCCCTCCTTGGCACGGCGCTCTGCTCTTTGAGAGCCGTTCTGCAAGCAGCCGCGCCCAGCGCCGTGGTGCCGCACCGTCCCTGGCGCGGCGCTGCCTGGGGGGTGGGGGCTGCTGGCGCCGACTCCAGCTTTGGGGACGTGTAGCAGAGACTTCTCTTAGAAGCAGACAGTGGTTACAGCTTCATCTCAGGTAACTCTCGTGCTCTCTTTCCTCAGGTTACCTTCCCAGGACCAAGCCTCAGTGATGAGCACCCGGTAGGTGTCTCCCTGCTGGCAGAAGGTGTCTGTTCTGGACCCAAAGGCAGCCTGTTGCCTTCAGGCTGGAGTAGCTACTGGTTGTTGGGGAGTCTAATGTGTAACCTCAGTGCAGATACATCGAGTGCACAGCCTGTGCTGTGGTGGCCCAAAGTGCCCTGCTGCTGTGGGGCTGTGCTTTCCCTTCTAAGGCACCCCTCCTGCTCTGCAGGTTCAGGTGGCTGCGCTGGCTGGGACTCTGACAATTGATGATGGAATCAGGGTTCACCAGCTGAGCCTTGAGGAAGCCACGCAGCACGGCTACAGCTTTCTGACTGATGGACACCACCTGGTATTCCAGGCAGCCTTCACTGCCATTGGAGTTGTCTCCTACAAGGTAGGAGCATGGAGCTCATGCTGAAGGGATGATGCAGCTTTTTCTGGGGCTGGAAGCCTTCCTCATGATGGAAGTGTTTGTGGGTTATGGCTAGAGCTGAGTTCATCTGGAGCTGTGCCTAATGGTATGAGCAGGCTGTTAGTTTGCAGAGTTACCTTGAGTTGTCTGGCCCTGCTCAGGGTGCACCTGCAGCAGCACGGTTCTGCTGGGGTTCTGCCTGTCCTTTGAGCAGAGCTTTCCTAAAGAGTGAGCCTGCAAAGCTCCACTTCCTTCCTGAAGACCAGCAGCCTCAGGTGGGCATTGCGTGGCTCTGCAGAGCTTCACCTGTGCTGCCTTCTGCACTGAGTGCCTTGCTCTGCATCCTGCCCTGCAGCACAACCAGGAGGCGCTCTACACTGCGGCTCTGAAGCTCACATATGGCCCTCCTGAACACAGACTGACCGTGGAGTCAAGAATGCTTTGTGCTCCAGGTAACGCGTGGGAGAAGCTGCCTGCTCCTGCTTTGACAAGGATGTTCTGCTTCAACAAGGATGTTGTTGCAGGTTCGGTGCTTTGTAACACAACACACATGGCTGTTGCCATCCCAGCCTTCCCGGGGACCCTTATGGCTGTGGCTGTAGAGGATGAGACCATCCCAAAGGACCAGCTCCAGGACAAAGGCATTACTCTCAACACAACAGGAGGGGTCAACCTGCTTGTCAGCAGGGCAGTCCTGAAGTCTGCAGTGAGTTGATGTTCTGGGGTTGTGGGGGTGGCTGTGCTCACAGCTCTTTGGGCTTTGCTTGTTACAAAGCACACCACCTCTGACTGGATGGGTCCTGGGTTGGCCACGTGTGCTGTGACTGATGCAGGGTGGCTGTGGCCCAGATAAATGTCACCTCACTGGGTAGCAGATAAGCATTGCCCTCAAAAGTAACTCAGACTTCATGAACTGTCCTTTGAGAGCAGCTGGAGGTTGCACTGCTGTGAGGTGGGCTGCTGTTGGAGATGCCTGGAGCAATGCAGGTCTTCTGCTCTTCACACTGTGTGGCTGCAGAGCAGACTGAACTGCTCCGTTGTAGGTGTTAAGGGCAGCTCTTGCATTATGCTCCAGGAGAGTAACTTGTCTTCCAGCTACGTGGGGAGAGCTGCCCCGGAGTTCAGTCCTACCTGTCCTTCTTGAAACTGACTTTTCATTTCCACGGGGAGACTGTGGCAATGGTGATGCGCCCAGAGTGCCCCTGTGACCAGCACGCACCAATAGGTCAGTTATGCCCTGCCCAGCTGGCAAACCCCAACCCTGCCCATTCTTGACCTGCTCCTTCCCAGGAAGTTCCTGTGGCCAAAATACAGCAGCTGTTTGGCAGACTGAGCTGTTGCTATTTGGGCACGACTCCTGTACCTCTGTTCCAGCTGCTGTATGCACTCAGGATGGGTACATGGATTTTGAAGTCCTTGCTGGCAGTACTACACCTCCGCTAGCCCTGGACACGCTCAGGCTCAGAGATCCCATGTGCAAACCTGCCTTCAGGTCCCCCTCAAACGACAGGGCCTGGTTTCATGTCCCACTGAGCAGGTGTGGGACCAGGTACTGGGTGAGTTCCCACTGCTGGCAGGGGGGGCTTTGTGGGGGAAATGCCCTCAACTAATGCTGCTGTCGCTTCTCAGCTTGAAGGAGAGAAGATAATGTATGAGAATGAGGTGAGGGCGCTGCGGTCTGACCATGTGCTGTACAGGATCTCAAGGGACAGTGAGTTCAGGTGTGTCAGGAAGTCTCTCTGGCTGAGAGTTGGCTGTGGGTATGCTGTGCACAGGTGTGAGACTTGCTTCTTGTTCCCTGCCCAGGTTAACGGTGCTGTGCTCCTTCAGCAATGGTGATGCCTCCATCTCTGTAGGGGTTGAAAACCCTCCCCCCCTGGCTGCTTCCATGAACCAAGGCCCCCTCTCTTTAATTTTTCTAAGCTACCCAGGTAAGCCATCCCCAGGCTCAGATAACTGGGCAGTAATTCATGCTTGAGATGAGAGGGAGGGTGTGCAAGTCTGGGTGTGTGGGCTTTGTGGGACCCTTCATGCTTCTCTTCCTCCTGCTGTGCTACTTGAGGTGGAGGAGTTGATTCTGGAGCTGAGTGCCTCTGGCTCCAGGGAGAGCTGCCAGCCAGCAGAGCAGCTGGCTTCAAAGCGCATGGGTTTCTTCAGGACTACTGTCGTGTAGGGACTCACCTACCAAGGCTTTGGCTCTTGCAGAGGACTCGTACAGGCAGCCGTACCGTGACGACCAGTACCCCATAGTGAGGTACCTCCAGCAGCCCATCTTCATGGAAGTGCAGGTCCTGAACCGCAATGACCCCAACCTCCATCTCCAGCTGGATGACTGTTGGGCAACAGCATCGGAAGATCCGAGCTCGCTTCCTCAGTGGAATATTGTTGTTGATGGGTGAGCGCCCCGCTGGAGGCACGCTGCCCTGTCGGCTGCGGGGTTTGGTTGCTTCTCCCCTCGCTTCTTCTCTCTGCATTCCCAATCGGAGGCGTGGGGCAACAGGCCCTGCTTTGGGGGGTGCTGCTGGGCGCCGCTGCCTGGTGCCACGCATGGAGGCATCCTGCAACTTGTAGGATGGCGCCTGTGCTTTGAACTGTAGCCTGCGGCTGGAAGCGGAGCAGCCTGGGCTGTAGGGAGGCGTCCTCCCGTAGCAGGGGGGTGTTGGTGTCTTACAGGTCCCATCCCACCTCGGCCACTCTATGGCCTCTGCCCCACCACTGATGGGCTGCTTCTCCCCCCGGCAGGTGTGAGTACGACCAGGACAGCTACAGGACTGCGTTCCATGCTGTGGGCCGTGGCGTCAGCTATCCCAACTATCGCCAGAGGCTGGAAGTGAAGGCTTTTGCTTTCGTGTTGGACAAAGCCCTCCCCGGCCTGGTGAGTGCCGCTTATCGCTTACTGCGCTCAGCAGGACCCCCCGTCTCCTGTAAGCGAGCGGCCACATCTGTTCTGTCCAGGTGTACTTCCACTGCAGCGCCCTCCTCTGCGACCACTTCCAGCCGGACTCCCCCTTGTGCACAGCGAGGTGCCCCAGGCCGCATAGGAGCAAGCGAGGTATCGCCCCGGCGCGCCCTGCGTCCTACGGCAGTGCCGACGCGCGGCACCGCGCCGCTCACTTCTCTCTCCCGTGCGCGGTTGCAGGCGGTGCGAGGCCGGGCGCCAGTTCCACGGCGAGCCTGCAGGGTCCGGTTCTCCTGGTGCCCCGCGGATGGGCGGCAGCTGGAGGTGAGAAGCGGCGCTGGCGTGCGCTGCCCAGCCGTGGGGGGCGGCCCCTCAGCGCGGTGCTTTTCTGCTCCCCTTGCAGGGGACGCTGCGCTGAGCCGGGCGACGTGGGCTGCGGTGACTGCGGCTGCTGTTGGCGTTCTCTCTCTGGCGGCCGCGATGCTGTTATTTACGGCTCTTCTTAAATGCCTTAAAAGAAGAGCCCTGATGGTAAATGCGGTATATTAATGCGTTTGTTATCGAACTTGGATTAAAAATGTGGCTTTTCAGGTAAGAGATGTAGCTCTGGAGTTGGTCGTGTAGCTCCTTGGAGGTAAACACAGGTGTCTCGGTGAATGGAGGCAGTGCTCCCCAGGTCTTCGGGCAGAGGAACCGAGCTGAAAACAGAAGAGAAGCCCCCAAAGCTTTAGGGCCTAAAGCCGGTGGCTGTTTCTTTGTCTCAGGAAAGCCGCGACTGCTAGAAAACAGCCGTGTGAAAGCAGCCCCTCTTCAGCTGCTCCTTCCCTCCCTTCGGAGAAGGGCTGAGCTGCTGCTTCGAGGTCAGCGCTGAGCACTGCGGCGTGCAGCTCTCCCCGTCCTGCTCGGTAACGCAGTCGCCGCGCTGGCTTCAGAGCCGCGGGGCGGAGCAGTGCGATGCGGAACCGGCACCACTCAGCCGAGCAGCGCCCTCCGAAGGACGAGGTGTGAAGTGCACGGCGAATCGGAAGCGGGCGCTGAGACCCAGCGGGTGCGGGGTGGTGAGACTGCGAAGTGTCCCTTCGGAAGAGGTGGGCTGGGGGGAGGAGGATCCCGGTGCGAGAAAAAGGCGCGTATGTGACAGGAGAAGCAAAATGCGAGTGTAAATGCAGTGGGGTTCTCATCTGGAAGAGAAACTACACCTCCTCTTCCCTGTTTAAAGAGCGCTTTTAGAAGGAAGCTTGTGGCAGTGGTTGGTGTTAGCTCTCCAGTAGTTCTGCTAATGCACTGCACGCCTCAGTGCTAAGATTGCAGGAGGTGCCCACTGTCCTTTAGGCTGTCATTTGGATCGTTATACCACCTTCCCCTCGAGCAAGGCTTCAGAGAATGAGTGGGAGGCTCTTCCTCTCTCTGAGGAAATGCTTCTCAAACAGAAGCAAATGAAACTGGAGGTAGACCAGGTTTTAATCCAGGCTAAGGGTGGCTTGCAGGCAGCCCAGTAGGCTAAAGTGCTCTTTCTCCTGCAAGCCAAGAGCTGGAAGAGCACAACTGCTGCCTCTGTTTGGTGCCTCATCTGAAGGTGTGGCTGCTGCTTTTGCTGGGCTGTATCTCCGTGCGACTGCTTGTGCCCAGTTGCAGCACCTTGCTGGAAGCTGGCAGAGGTAAAACTAACTGAACTTGCTACGGGATTTCCTGAGCCTGCTATTGTGAGCAAAGCCAGGCTGTGAGCAGTGCTTTCACTTGTACAGCGTTGTTGCTTTCTCTACCAATGCACTGATTTGAGAATAAACTCCTGATTCTGGATGGCACAAGTGGAGAGCGTTAGCTCTGGCAATTGCCTTTCCCCACTAAACTAAATGATGTTGGTCCCAACGGCTTTGGGTTAATGAGATTCTCCTTAAAACTGAGCGTTTGGATTGTATTTGCTCTTAATCCAGTGAGAGAGCAGACAGCAGAGCAAAAGCACTGGTCAGTGCCACGAGCCACTTCAGAATCTCCCATGTTCCAGCATCTCAAGGATGCTGTGCTGGGCATCCTACTGCCTTGTGAGCAGAGCACAGAAGTGCCTGTAGTGGGCAGCTGGATAGGAACGGTGTGCAGAGCTCTGCTGGGGCAAGAAGTAGTAAAGCTTTTCTTTAAGCTAAACTTGTTTCTTAGTGTCACTACAGAGTTATTCATCATTGGTTTCAACTTGCTGTAAGTGGGTGGAGCAGTGCTGTGTGGGACTGGGTCTGTGATGCTGCCACAGCTTGGGGTGGGGGAGGGGAGGGGAGAGAAGGCGTGGAGCGGAGCTCAGCTCCCACTGCCACTCCTTCACAATAAGCATTGCTGATGGGCTGACTATAATTCCTAAAAGGATTTCAGGCAGATCCTAACAGTGCTGCAATCCTCAATGGATGATAATCAAGGCTAATCAAGGATAATCAAAGGAGCAGGATTCCTTTTACCCTGACCTCCATCATTGGATGCTCCCAGGGACCTGGCAGTGCCTGGAAGCCAGGGGGAGGCAGAGATGCTGGGTGCAGCCTGCTGTGGTGCAGGAGAGCTCACAAGGATCCATCCTAGAGTACTCAGAGCTGGCCAAGGTCAGTGCCAGGTGTCTCTGAATTGTCCATCACTGGGAATCTAGAGAGGTGCCAGCTGACTGCCAGCCAGAGCAAAACCTCAGTACCTGTAGGCCTGTCGGACTCACCTCAGTGCTTGGAAAAAGGATGGAGAAAATTACCTTGGGAGGTTCTGAAGGACAATGCTGTCTTTGGCCAGAGCCAGTGTGGGTTCACAGGGGAGGTGGTCTTTAACAAATGAACTTTCCTTCCATAGTGAAGTCACCTGTCATGTTGGTGGAGGGAAGCCAGCTGCTGTTATCTTTAGGATTTCAGTAAAGCTTTCTATCCTTCTAGACAAACTGCCCAGCACTCAGCCCAAAATGTAACACGAGGGGTCAGCCCTGGGGTTATGGTAAATGGGGACAGGGCTGGGATCAAGGCCCCTCTGTGCTGCCACAGCGCTCCATTTTAGGGCCGCTTCTGTTGAACGAACGCTTTCATCCCCATCTTTGATGGAGTTTTGAAGGTGTCTCAGTAAGCCTGCCCCCAGATGGGGAGGAGCTGTTGGCTTCGTGGAGTACAGACAGCCTTGCAGGGAGCCAGGCACCACCAACGTGCAGTGCGACAAGCGGTGCTGCGTTGTGCGCTGCACAGCCAGCCCTGGTGGCACAGCAGCCTGGGCCAAGGGATGCTGCTGAGCAGCCCTGCTGCTGGGGGTTTGGCTGCTGCAGGTGTTACCCACCAGCAGCGATAGCAAAAAACTCTGCGTGCGTGCTCAAATGGTGTCTTTGTTCCATCTTCTTGATGGATTTCTCCTTCCCTATGTTACATAAACAGTACTACAGCCCTATCTTTCCTTACAGAGAAACTCAATTTTGTTTTTGTCTTCCAGCTACCAACAGGAATTTTTTGGAACATTCTATAGGGGAAAAGTTTTGAAATATCCACAGTAAATATTTTATTGAACAAGTGTGCTCCTGCTCCAAAGGAAAACCCTTAGGGAAGTTTTGAGGGCAACTCTTTACTTGAGAATAAATAAGAATAATGAAGCAATGTGGTTAAACAAACAGCACTTTATTAAACTCAGACAGTTAGATAATGCTTAGAACTATGACAGCATTGTCAAAAATGGAAAAAGTTTCAACAAAGTGAGAGGTTACAACCAAGAAGCAGAACAGGCCACTTAAGCACCCAGAGCAGGGCAGAACAGAAGGGCAGGCTGCAAACAGCTGCAGTGAGGTGGCAGCGAGTGCAGGAAAACATCCCTGCAGCTGTATAGGTGTGCAAAAGCTTACACCACAATTAAGGCGTGATGAAACCTGCTTTCCTCTCACAACACACAGCATTAGTGTGGTACACTCACAGTATTTTAACACGGGCTGTTAGCACTTAGAAATTTTTCACCTTTCAAAAGCATTTCTGATGTTCTGGGCTTTAACACTTACGTATGAAATGGCCAAACCACTGCGCACGCGTTGCAAACAACAGTGCAGCCAGAGCTCCAGGAGCACAGGCAAACACTGCCCAGCCCTTCTCTTACCCAACTGCCCCCAACTCTGCTGTGACAGTTGCATCCCTCTCCCCAGCTCTGCAGAACATTCCCTCGCTCACGCAGTGTCACGCTGTGCTGCTCAGCGCGTGCTCCCACCATTGCTGTTACAGTGACAACGCACGACGCACGCCGGCTCTTTCAGCTCCCATATGAAGTGCACTGAGGTTGGATGCTTAACAAGTAAACGATTACATTGCAAAGGACAGACCTGCACAGCGGAGTGTTTGAAGATGGGCAGAATCCCACTATTTGTTCTTTCGTTTGTTGTCAGAGAAGTCCATGACAGACAGACTCTTCTGTGGTGAGCTTCCATTAACTTCTTGCTTCCTCGCCTGGCTCCTGCACAGGAGAAAAGAACAGCTTTATGTCTGTTCTCCCCTAAGACTGCTGTCTAACTTTCTGCCAGAGCAGCTGAGCAACACGAGATGTAAGCCTGAGACTTCTGAACATCCGCTGCTGCTCTATGTGCCACAGCTCTCTGAAAAGGCACCGAACACAAAAAGAGCCATCTGCCAGCGCCTCTTTAACATCAAACTGTAATTTGTATGTAGGTTCTCAGCACATCACTATGTGCTGCAGGAGAGAGAAATCTTTCCTGGACCTGGTGGGCAAAGCGATGGGCCTGGCAGCACGCCTCGGAGGAGGGCTGCAAGTCCTGGAGGTGTGCAGACACACTGGGCTTGGCACCAGTCTTCTCTTCCTGAAGTACAACACCCTCACAGGAAACTGTGCGTCCCTGAGAACCGTGCAGAAATGCTGCTGTAATGAAGGACCAAACTAAGAAAGTCTCAGAGAGAGCAGCTGCAGCTTTTCTCCTTGCTCCCCCCTGTGCTTACGAGTGACCATCAGCCCTTCCTTGCTGCGAACGCACTGGCAGGCAGCAGGTGGCCCTCCAGCACAACCTGCCAGGGCCGCCCTCAGCCCAGCAGAGCACAGCTAAAGCACAGCTCCCTAAGCTGGCCTCCAAGCCCTGAGCTCCTGGAGCATGTGCAGACCTGACCTGCAATCCAGTACACGCGTAGCATCCAGAAAAATGACTCACTCCTGCTGAAGCCACCCACGCTCTTCCCTTTATCAACTCGTGCTCCTATTCCAAAGCTACATTTCTGTCCATTTCTCTACAAATGCAGGTAAGCTGAGATAGCTGGGTACTGTGTTGTGCAGAAAGAACGCTGCTGCATCCTCTAGGCACACCTGAAAGCATGCTTTGAGGATGTTTAAATCAACATTAATTCTGAGATAAAGATAAATTTTGATGTTACAGTGTTAGCATGTGCAGGTTTTTCAAGCTCAAAGGGAGGAGGTTTAAGGTTGGACATAAGAAAGCCTTTCAGAGTGAAGGTGGTGAGGCCCTGGCACAGGTTGCCCAGAGATGTGGTGGATGCTTCATGGCTGGAGACAGCCAAGGCCGGGCTGGGTGGGCTCAGAGCACCTGATGGAGCTGTGCGTGTCCCTGCTCACGGCAGGCAGATGGATCGGATGGCCTTCAAAGGTCCCCTCTAACTCTAAGGATTCTGTGATTGTAACTCTCACCAAAATCCATACTAATGATGAGGTTTAATGTTGAAGCACCAAAGCAGCCAAAGATGCCCCAGCACCAAAAAACCATCCATTAAACGAACCAGAAGTGGTTCAGTGTTAATATAAAGGCAGTAACCAAAGCAGCAGTGCAGGTGCAATTTGAAGTCAGGATGCAGAAGTCAGGGCTGTTACCTTGAGGCACACCAGCAGTTGACCAGAGCTGAAAGAATGATGTAACAAACACTCAGCACTCCAGAAACTCCCAGTGAAAGCGCACCCAGGCCACAGAGCACACAGAGCAGGGCTACGCCCCCGATGGATATCACAACACCTAATAAAACAAGACAGAGAGTATCGTTTAAACACGTTTATATACAACTGAGTTAGAAAAGCAGGTGTTCGACCACAACCCCAAAGTAAAAGCATTTGGGAAAATGGAATCAACCAGCTGATGGGGGAACAGCCAAGAGCCTGGCCCTAGCAGGACAGCACTGGAGGGCAGAGTAACAATGCCTTCCACAAAATACCAGAAACAAAAGCTTTGCGTGGCCAAGATAACTGGTTTTGCCGCGATCAGTGGTTCAGATTAGAAAGGCAATTAGGATTTCCTTTGGTACAGAATGCAGTTAATCAGATGACTGCTCTGAGGACTACACGCAGAAATCTTCAAATGCTTCAACTGGGACTCCAAAAAGAAGAAAAGAGTAAGGAAAAGGTTTCTGCCTGAAAAGGGAGTACGTAGATTCATGCATACAATACCTTCCATGATTATCACACCAACACAAGCCATTATGACTGTCGTAATGACAAAGATGAGGAAAAATGCCACAGGAATAGTAGACACTGCAATGAACATCAGGAGCGATAAGGCAACAAAGGGATGGTCATCCAAATACAGGCCCAGGCGGGAGTTCATGAACGCAACGACCTGCGGAGGGAAGAACAGCGTTCAGCTGTATCTCATCGTAACTCCGCGGCCGCAGCTCGTCAGTGAGAAGCAGGGGAACACCTTTTGTAAGTCTGCAGGTGGAAACAAATCCCTTCTGTTAAAGCAGTTGTACACTGGAATTTCTGCGTAGAAGAGACATTTCTTTCCCTCTAAGCAAATACGTACTGTAGTTTATTTGTGGAGCAGCACAAACATGTCACCAAACAGCCACTCTTCCGCCTTAATGGCTATACTGGTAAGACAGAAGTGCAGAACAGTGTTCCCTTCATCTCGACTGCTGAAGATTTGGGAGGGCTGCCCTTCCCCTGCACTCCTGAGCGTTTGCTCAAGAAAGAGAGCCCCAAGTTTCCAAATAAAGGAAAGAAAGCATCACTGAGATAAACTGGGGCACTGCATCTCAAGAGCTGTAAAGATCCCGGCTTCGGAAGTGCGCCACAGACAGTTCTCCCAGTTCTCACGCAGACCTACGTTTGAGTTGCTGTGGATGGACTGCACGATGAAGTGCCATTGCTTCTGCAGCTCCTGCAGCTCTTTAGACATGCTGGGACCTGTAGTGCCGCTGCCAGCCCGGGCGGTGGCAGACTCGTGCAGGTGTTTCCTGAAAATAAAGGAAAAGCTTTTGCCAAAACAGAGACTGTACGTTTTGTTGTTAATGTCATTTGTAGCCTAAAATGTTAGGTTCACAAAGGAAACCTAACATACAGGCCCTGAAAGCTCTTCTGGAACTCCCAAGGGCAGAAATAAGTATCCAGGTGCCCTACCTCCTTCCTTACAGCCCTGATATCCCTAATTGAACAATGCCTGCTTTCACAAAACCAGCTAACAGTCAGCAGAGCACTCTGACACTAAGCAGAACATCCTTTTCCTGCTTAACAAGTCCCACACATCACTGTTATCCAGGTCAGCATGGGGGTCCTCTCCAGTACAGCACTCTGAACTGCAACTCAAAAAAAAACCAAGAAGAGGGCAATGTGGGGTCACGAAGAGGAAGGCTGCTTACTTTGTATCTGAGGGTTTTGAGACCCCCACCCAAAACCAATGAGCACACGCAAGGAGAGGAACTCTATGGAATGGTTTTGCAGGGAGAACTGAATGTTTGTACCGCCCAGGAAACCTTTTGCATAGGTAAGACCAGTGAGGTGTATCAGCTGAAGGGCTTTTGTTCAGGGGGGCATGGTTAGGGCAGGCATCGTAAATTAAGAATGCCTGCATCCTAACACCACATCGGGGCTGGTGAGGGCGTTTCCGCATTGTGCACCACAACCGTGACCCGTTTAACCACGGGGGGACAGCACTGCTGGTGAGAAGAGCTGGGGCTGTGCAGGTGGAGAAGAGAAGGCTGTAGGGAAAGCTGAGAGCGGCCTTCAGTGTCTAAAGGGGAGCAAGAGGAGAGAAGGGGACAGACTCTTCAGCAGGGTCTGTGGTGACAGAGCAAGGGAAATGGCTTCAAACTTCAACAGGGGGGTTTAGGTTGGACATAAGGAAGAAGTCTGTTACAGTGAGGGTGGTGGATGCTTCATGGCTGGAGACAGCCAAGGCCGGGCTGGGTGGGCTCAGAGCACCTGATGGAGCTGTGCGTGTCCCTGCTCACGGCAGGCAGATGGATCGGATGGCCTTTAAAGGTCCCTTCCAGCTCTCAGTTCTCTGTAAGTCGGCTCTCCCTGCACAGCACACAACGCTCCCGGGCCTCCAAACGCGGCCCGAGCGGAGCGCAGCAACGCCGCACAGCAGCGGCGCCAACCGCCCCCAGACGCCATCTGCTGCGCCGGCTCCATCATCCAAGGACACCCAACGCCACGCTCGGCTTCTCTGAATTCTGAACACGTAACCACGGCGTCAACGTTACTTTTAAAATAATTTTATATTAATTGAGTAACGTACGATTTTATCTACGCTGCCGTTACATCCGCACCCCCGACACGGACGGTACCGAACGCCGAACTCGGCTGCCCGCCGCGCCGCCTCCTCCCCTTCCGCGCCGCGCAGCGCAGTGGGGGAACCCACGGCCCCCAAACCCCACGGCGACACCACGGCAGCGCTGCCGCCTCGCTTCGGGCCGCCGCCCGCCAGGCCCCGCCGCGGGGAGGCGCGGGGGCAGCGTGAAGGGCGGCTCTACGACCCGGCCCTGGGACCGGCCCCCGCGACCCGACCGCATGGCCCCGGCCCCTGCCCCGCCGCCATCGCACCCCCCACTCACCTCCCGCCGGGCCGCGGCTCCCGTAGCGCTCGCTTTCGGAGCGCGGCGCCGCCTGCTGTCTCCGCCCCTGACGGCCGGGCCGGGCGGCTCTGTCGTTTTCTGCGCCCTCCCGCTTTGTCCCCCCCGGCCCGCGCCGCCTCGGAGGGCGCTTCCGGGCTTCGTGCGGTGCTGAGAGCCACGCGGCGCGTCCCGGAGCCTCCTACTTATTTCGATTCTTTTACGGCTGAAATTAAGGACGAAAGCAACCCGGGCCGCAGCCGCGCGGCTCCTCCAGCAGGGGCGGCGCAGGGACCGCCCGCACGCGGCTCCGAGCCCGGGCCGTGCCTCGCGGGGGGGCGGCTCGGCGTACCGGGACCCGCAGCCGGCAAGGCGGGGAGTTCTGCCCGGCGCCGCCGCGGGGAGCCGCGCCCCGGTGACCCGGAGCCGCCGCGGCCGAGCCGGCAGCCGGTGTTGGTGCCGGTGCCGGTGTTGATGCCGGGCTCCTCGCCGCGCCGCCCTGAGCTGTGCCAGCAACACGTGCCTTTCTGCTTCAATGACTGATTTCGGATTGGTGCCACCGTGGGAATGTTGGGAAGCCGATATGAAATGTGTCGGGGTTATTTTGTAACGGCAGCGAAGCACGCTGTGCATTTCATCTTCACACAGGGTTTATGAAGTACTAAGTTTCTTTTTAGCACGCCAAGATGCCTGCAGGCGGTGTGCGAGCCGTGCGGAGGTCACCGAGCTCTGCAGGTACAAAGAAGTAAAGCAGAGGTCTGTGTTACCGTGAGCTCATCTGGGTGCTGCTGGAGCAACACCAGGCCTCCATCAGCAGTGGGCAACTTCAAGCCCAGAGATGGGTGGACATAAGGAAGGAGTCTGTTACCGTGAGGGTGGTGAGGCCCTGGCACAGGTTGCCCAGAAATGTGGTGGATGCTTCATGGCTGGAGACAGCCAAGGCTGGGCTGGGTGGGCTCAGAGCACCTGATGGAGCTGTGCGTGTCCCTGCTCATGGCAGGCAGATGGATCCGATGGCCTTTAAAGGTTCCTCTAAGGATTCTGTGATTCTCAATTTGTATGTATGTATATGTTAAGTGAATGTAGCTAGCTGTAACATTACAGCATGTCATCCAGTGATAATGCTGCCATGAGCTTTAATGGCTCTTGAGGACATTGGAGTTGTGCACAAAGGAACAATCATCATCATAACTGTTGCTTAACCAAGCTTGTCTTCTTGCCAGCATTACCTTGAGTTCACAGGAAGGTGCTCCTATTGCAGAACAGCACCAGAGACTTTGTGCATCTGAAAGCAGTCACACTTAGCAGTGCTGGTTCTGTGCCCCCACTGCTGGCTTGTGCTCATGGGGCAGCTCGTGGGGGGAGCTTCCATGTGTGGCCACAAAGCGCCATCTCCCACCTTGAGCTAACATCACATCCAAGGAAAGCAGTGCCGTTGTGTGAAGAATGCCTGCTGTTCTTGTGGTTTACAGAAAATGTGATGAACGGCACTTGAAAGTGCTGGTGAGGAGCTGTGGTGGGAATGGAAGGGTTGCTGGGTGGGCAGAACATGTGCAATGCCTCTGCCAAGGGCCGGCGTCAGGAAATTGCTCTGGATTTCCTGCTGGGTAGTAACAGCTCCGTCTGTGCTGAAATTGGGAGGATGCTTTCTCTTGGGATGTGATGACAGTTGTGGCTGGAAGACAAACACACAGACTGGTGTGGGAATGCAGGCGTCCCATTGGCTTTGGATCTTTGGGGAGTTTGGTTCTGAATGATTAAAAATGAAATAGCTTTCATACTATTGCTGGAGTACCTAGGATGCATTTGGGGTTTTTGTAGCTTTCAGAGGTGAGGCTGACCTGTGTGTTTGCTCACTGATTCCAGAACTGAGTCTCCATAGCTACAGCTTGGCACAACACAGCGCTGAGCAGGGCTGGCCACACAGCTCTGCAGAGAAGGGAGGAGGACATCCTGGCCTCCTGGCACCGGCTGCACTGTGACTGCAGCAGTGAAGGTGAGCACTGAACAGCAGAGTGTCAGAAATCCCTGAGCTGTATTGGGTCTGCTGAGCAGAAGGGAGGTAACCAGGGGCTGCGGGTCCTCCGGCTCAAGCACTCAGCGGAAGCGCGAGGCCTGCTGGCCATGCACCTTTCTCATTTCCACTTTGTTTTGACGTGCATTTGCTTCTCATGGTGGGAACATCTGTTGTAAACCATCATTAGGGGCCTGGAGTGACTGGTGCCATGGAAAAGATGGAGCAGTGGGGAGGAGCCTGGGTTTGGGAGAGGTGAAGGGGGGGTAGGTGTGAAAATCTGGCCTGACAGATGGCTGGAGAGAGTTAGAAAGCTTAAGGTGAAAATGGAGCTTGAGGAGGACAAGAAGGGAAAGACAGCATGTGGTCTGGGAGGAGAGGGGGTGTTGTTGGGTGAGGAGGCTGATTGCTTTGATATCTTTTGTTCCCAGAAGGGTTCTCTCATTTTTTTGTTTGTTTGTCTTCAGTGCGTGTGCTGATCTGAGGAGGAAGACCAAAAAATTCTCAGGAACCAAAGCAGAGATGAAAGACAAAGCAGAATGAAGCCAACACAGAGGGTGAGTTCTTTCTGCAGGGGCTATGAACAATTCATATGATTTTCAGCTTGGCTGTTACTTGTGGCTGACGGTACGTCATTGAGGAGGACTCTGTTTGAAGCTTGTTCCATGTTCTTTAGACAGAAAGCTCTATAATATATGTAATATAATAAAAGTAACCCAAGGGCTGTGTTAGAAGGAGCAGTGGTTTTCTTATGAACCCTTACATCTTCATGAATGAACAACTCTCCCAGCAAACCGCTCAGCTTATTCTCACCCAAAAGCTCAATACTTTTGTCATTAATCAAGAAAAACTCACACTACCTGTATAATCAATGATATTGAGATGTTATAATTATGAAATAAACAAGAGAGTTAGGCAGAGCAGATTATGATAACAAAAAGAGAACAGATGGAAAGGTTACCTGTATTCTGGGCTCACTTACAAAACTCCAACAGAGAGCATCTCCAGCAGAGATCCTTTTCCCCTGGCAGCCAGCTCTTAAATAGGTCTAGGAGGGGTGCAGCCAGGTTCCAGCCCTTCCAGAATCGCCTCACCTGTGTTCCCTGGCTGACGCAGCGCTCGCCTCAGGTACCCAGCGTGCCCACACGCAAAAGGAGAGATGCCATTCATGTCTTTGGAAGGTTTTTTGAGAAACTGATTATGGAAACGCTGTGTTGTGAAGAGAAAAAAACGGGCAGTAGAGGCATTGTATTCCAATTGAGTTGGCTGTGTATTCCAACTAAGTAAAAAACCTCTGATCAATCAGTTCCCATGCACTGCCTTGAGGGAGCTGCACCTGTTAAACGCCTTGGTGCCGGGTGTCTGTGTGTGGGCACGCTGGGTACGGGGGGTCGGTCAGATCAGTCCTTTCCCAAAATGACGCTGAGGAGGGCACGGTTTTGTCTGTTTGAATGCCAGGTTTGGGCAGCCAGGATTCCCAGGCCTCTATGAAAACTGCCCCTTGCTCTAATCGTGTATTTGAAGTTATATGTAATAATGTGCAATTTTTCATACGTAATTGTGCAGGGTAACGACTTGGTGTTTTATGGCAATTTAACGCACTGGCATTCTGATACCACGTGCTTTCACCTTCTTTTTCTGGTGATCTCATTGCATATTTGGGAATTTGTTTCTTGTGGATCTCCTGAGCAAATATGGTTTAAAATGATGAGAAGGACCGGGGGCGTCTGCTTATACTAAAGAAAAATGCTTCAGAAATACCTGACAACACCATGGGGCTGAATAATTTTGAGGAAATATCGTTAGAAGAACCTCCTGTGATGCCCTGGCAGTCATTGTGAATAACTCTTCTTCAAAGCAGCGTAATTCATAAGCATCTTCAGAACGTCTTTGTCATCTCTCTGCAGTTGCAGAAGGACTCGGTGTACGACAGGAGCCATGTGGGGAACTTGCCTGAGGTGCCCCCCGTCCCCCCTCCTGCTGCAGCTGCACCTTGGGAGTTGCACGAGGTTTGTGTTCTGTCAGGGTTGTGTTTCTCGTGCTGAGCTGATTTTAGGCTCTGTGTGACACCAGGCCATGGGCACACTGTGAGTTAAGGGCAAGGAAAGTACATAAATTACTAACTTTAAGCACTGGGCAGGTGGTGGAGTGTTCTATTAGCGTTGCTCTTAGTGAGAGGAGTGTTGTTACACCTTCTATTGTTATTTGGTTATTAAGCCAGTCAAAATCAGTTCATTACCTATATGGTTCATTACTATTTGTGGCTGAATTTTTGGATTAAAAATATTTTCCTTCCAGGCAGATTGTGATTTGTTTACTTTATTTGGCTACTTCATAGCAGTACACAAAAAAACCTGAGTCCAAATGATGGTCCCAAAACAGCTGAGAGCTCGGCAGGTGCAGCATTGGTCTGAATCGCCTGCTACAGGTGCACAAATAAATCCCACGTGCCAGCATTCAGAGGGAGGAGGGAGAGAGGGTGGCTGTTTCCTGCCATGAGCAGCCTCACAGTTCCTCATCTGCCTCATTTGTTTCGCACTTTGTTTCCCCAGTGGTGTCCTTTAATAGTAAGAGATTGTTTGTGAAGGAATTGGAGTTGATTTCTGCTGTAAAGTTTGTCATTTCACACTTTGAGTGAAAATTGAAAATTTTAACTGCAAAATCTATTCTGATTTTTTTACAAAGGGTAAAATAATTAAATGAAACGTTGCATAAACTTTTAAAATTGTCTTCCGGAAATCAATTAGACTTCCTAGGGATGTGTCGAGGTTTATACAAGGTAGTTTAGCCACTGGCATTTGTGTCCCATGGTCAATGCACTTTTGCCAGGTGACTTTTTCTCTTCTCCAGAGGGCAGATTTCCTCCTGGTGGATGCTTTGTCCAAGCAGTTGCTTTCAGTATCACCACTGGCAGAATTTTGCATCCAGCAGTTCTGTGTTTCGGGAAGAAAAAATATGGCTTTGAAAGCAGGCCTCACTGGGCTTTGCAGAGGTGGAACAGTTCATGGTTCTGTGTTATGCACCCTCTGAGTGTGTATCTGCACTAAAAATAATTGCAGTCCCACAGCC